TATATATAGATGTATATGTATGTGTACATATGGTATAAAAATGTCTCGTTTGCTCAATTTTTCTGCATGAATTTTTGTGAAATACGCATTCGTGGAAACAGTTTCAATTAAATAATTGACCATATAAGTTATATTACCACTCATTATCTCAAAAGAATGTTGTTTTGCCTAGCTCTATCGCCATGGTGATCGTGCTCCCATATTACTATACCCAAATGATCCGAATGAAGAGCATGTTTGGCCGGATGGTTTAGGAAAGTTAACACAGGTAAAGAATTGTTTTTAAAATTCTAATTCAGATAAATTTTATATCTTTATGCAGGATGTTCTGATTCTCCATCTTAAAACTTAATTTTTAGATTACTTTTCAAGCAAAACGTGTGCCGATTTCTCGATTAAAATAGTAGAAGTCGAAAATTAATATTTCAGCAAGGGAGAAACAATTTCTAGCACCTACCCCCTTTGAGGAACACAGGATTAAAAACATCATTACTAGTTTGATTGCGTAATTAAAAATGGTCGTGTTAATAATAATCTCTTTTCTCTTTTCTTCCGACAATCAAGCAGGTTTTTATTTTTGTCAACCTTCCTTATACTTTCGATTTATTTCGAGACCTAATTTGAAATTTATTTTTATTGCTTAAATATTAATAAACAACTCCTTATGTGTAAACTTTTTTCTTTAATTTTTGTTGAAGATTCTGGAAATATTTATAATGACGATTATTACGAAATATTCTATAAAGATATACTATTTCTGTGATTTTTTAATTTAAATTGGCTCCCGCAAAGTACGATGTTGCCTTTATGTTGTTGTTACATTTACCTTTGTTGATGATGTTAAAGCAAGATGCTGCCATTCGTGGAGGACCTTTTGATAGAACTAACCAGTACTAAATCACGAAAAGCTCCTACAATTAGCCTAATATCCTGGATAAATTGGGCAGGATATCATTATAAAATTGACTGTTTTGACCAGTGTGGTACTGTATGTTTACTGTAGATTCTCTCGCATGTTGGAGTTTTCGGAAACAAAGTTATTGACCTGATTTCTGGGAAAGGTAACGAACTGCCCATTGCCCCTTTTACCGAACTACGAACTTCTGAGATGCACTCTCTTTTTTTGGCTAATATAAACACCACTTTTAGGATCCCACCAGAACATGAATGGTATGATTCCTGCTGGACTGTCATTGCAGCTCTCCTGTCCAAGAATTGTTCAAACCACTCTATCTGCACTTAGGACTGGTCTCCTTTCTAGATGGTTATGACTGGTCACACTAAGGAACTTTATTTTTAACGGAAACGAGTTGACCCATGCTGTTTGCCGCTGTTCTGCCATCGCTTCTCCCTAGATTGTGCTGTGGGATAAGGGTTGAATGAGGGGGATTTGGTTTGATTTAATTGTGCGACTTGGTCTCCTGAACTTGGTTTAGTTTGTCTAAGCCTTGAGGTATAGCAACAACAACAACAAGATGTTGCTTTTAACCAGAACGTTTTTAATTAATTATAAATATTAATGTTTCATAAAATTATTGACTGTGTTTTTTAGTTAATTATGAGCATAATGTTTTTTGAATAGAAAAATAGTTATTGTACTGTGAGTAAAAACATTGAGTAAAAGCATTTCGTAAGTAGAATTTTGCAGTCCTGCATTTCTTTAAGGCAGGAAGTTGGTCTCTGGTTCCACACCCAGGTCTCAAAAACCACAGTGAGGACGTAAAATATCCTCAGTGGTAGACGGATCATAGGTTAGAGTCCTCTTGCCGTCAGATGAACCATGGGAGGTTTTCTTGGTTTTTTCTCTCCATTTAACGCAAAGGATGATTAGTTTTTTCAAAAAGTCCTCCACGAAGGCAAATTTCTCTCACTACTTGATCCAGGAGTTCCCTTGTTTTCTGGATTGGGTTCAAAATTACAAGGCTAAGGAGTTGAACATTGGCTGTCGTAAACCCTAAATCGGGTCGGCTGTTCAACGACCGTTGTAAATTAAAAAACTACTACGCTTTTGGCACAATGTTTTATAGGGTGGTAGATATTTAATAATCAAAGCTTTCAGAATTTTTGTCAACATTTTAAACGTTTCACAATAACAGTGTTGGAACAAGGTGGCGTTTGATATGAACTTTTAAATAATTTATATGTAGTGGCGTGGAAAATAAGTTTAAATGAATAAAAAAAATAATACATTAAAGCGTAAACTTATCTGCCACTGGAACAAATTTTTACAAAAAGCGTGGAGAGATGGCAGCACTGTATGATGATAGTGGAGGTTTGATGATAAGGCACTTTTTCTTCTAGAAAGGTACTTTGATTAGTGATAGGTATACGGATAAGGCCTTGGAACCTAATGTTCGTCTTTTCATGGGTATTTTTGGCAAGACTTTGGTTTCGCTTAAATAGATGACAACACGTGTCGTAGAGCGCATTATTCTGATTTGAGACTATTAACTGAATGATGGTTTAAAGTGCAACAGGAATTTTAATAATAATTTCATTTTTATTATTTTTTTTTAGCTTGGCAGACAACAACATCACAATTTAGGACATTTTTTCAGAACATACTATCAAAACTTCATGAATTCAGATCCATCGGAGGTGAGATTATTTAAAATGTCTCTTATTCTATTTGTAGCACAGAAAAGATAGCTCAAATATTAAATAAATTCAGACATGCAAAAAAAGCGAACTTTGTGGCAAACTGTTAAGTACTCTCTTCTAGAAAGTGATAAAAAGTTGCATGACTAAACGCGTCTGGTGTTTCGGGGGAGCAGAGAGACAAACTAACATATGGTAAATTAGATAAGTGAGAGTTTGTTTTTATAGTAATTTTTTTAATTCTGAATCGAATGACAGCAATCTCGAGACAATAGGGCATGTCATAAAATTTCATCGTTTATTTTATTTCAGGGTCAAACATTTTTAGTGAATTTTGTGAATTATGTAATTTAGTGAAGTATTTTGTCGTTTTTATTATTATTCTAATATTTTTTCAAGTAACCTAGAGCTTTAAGAAACATATTACAATCTTCCCCTGAATAAAAAAACAAAGGGATACACAATGGAATTACCGGTATAAATTTGATGGTCATCTCATCTTCAACTTCATGAGNTCATAAAATTTCATCGTTTATTTTATTTCAGGGTCAAACATTTTTAGTGAATTAAGTATTTTGTCGTTTTTATTATTATTCTAATATTTTTTCAAGTAACCTATTAAGAAACATATTACAATCTTCTCCTGAATAAAAACAAAGGGATACACAATGGAATTACCGGTATAAATTTGATGGTCATCTCATCTTCAACTTCATGAGAGATAGCCACATAACATCCACTAAGACTAATTGCCAGTTTTTATTAATACGCATTGTTAGATCAGGAACCGTAAAACCCTTTAAAAAATGTAAAAAATTGAAAAGGTTTTTAAATTTCGATTTACTAATAACGCAGGAATCGCAAAACGAAAATGGGTAAAAAAAGTTTTAAGATGGAGATAGCTCTATAAATCCATGTCAGATGGAATATGTTTAATATGATTTGATTTATTGAAATTACATACATTTGCTGACTTGTGTGCTCAATGTTTAATATGTTTTGATAATCCAAACTGATGACACCAAACTAGATCCCTATACCTTTATTAGGTCACTCCCAGTTGTGGAGGTTGGGCCATATGCACATTTAATTTGAAAATAATTGAACATATTAAACTTACAAACATCAGCATATTTTAAGAAGGGACAAATAAAAATGAAATGTTAAAATGCTAAAATAGTGCAGTAACGCTACTGTTCTATCACTAATGCTTCTAGTTTCTGTTTTAAAGATCTCCAGCTATCAATATGAATTTCTGCCTTATCTATTTCTTTCTCTATTTCTGTATCGGAAGATTCTCCAGAATACAACAAATGTTTACTTTTCTCTTCAAAGATTATCAGTATAATAGCTTTCTCTTCGATAAGCTTTAATTTATTAATTTTATCAGCACAATTGAGTTTAATTTCTACCTCATCAAAGGAATTACATGCTCGAGTAAATAATCTCCAATGTTGTCTTCTATCTTTCCAAACTACTTCCATAACGAATAAAGAATGAAACAAAATATACAAAATATTTCTTACTCGTAAAAAACGTCTATGCCCTGTTCGCGGAAACCAGATATTCCGTTTATATTTCGAATCAGAATTAGTTAATGATGTCAGTGTTCTTAATTATACTATAAGCAACTTACAGCACACAAAATGGCTTATTTTTTACAGTTCTATTAACAAAAATATAAAAAATACATGCTTCATCAATAAAACTCGAAGCCCTCAAAGATATAAAATGGCGTAAATACGAATATATTAATGCTCAAAAATAAATAAACATCAGCTCAAGGCCATTTTGTTTCTTCTCCACAAAAAAAGACGAGCAAACTCAATAAAAAAGAAGAAGAAGGAAAAAAAAAATACTGTTACCATAGCAACTTAATTTTATGAACTACATCAAAGTTAAAGACTAAACAGACGATAATTCTCAATTCGCGATCGCGACACAAAAAATACATAAAGTTATATTTCATAATTTACACGAAAACAAAATAAGGGTTAATTTATAAGAGTAAATAAGTTTAATTTAACTTGCAAATTTAATATAATTAGTTGACCTAAAATTAAAAAAAAAAATTAAGGAAGAATTACAGCAAAAAAATTGAAATCTGTTAAGAAAAGTAACCTCATTAATTACATCAACAGTATGAGATGCTGTTTCCTCTATACAGCTGCCAACTTCTCCTAACTTCCTCTTTAGTTTTGTTGCCAGCTTGTTAATCAGAGGGGAAACTCCTGGCTTTTCAGGCAAAGNAGGAAAAAAAAAATACTGTTACCATAGCAACTTATGAACTAGATCAAAGTTAAAGATTAAACAGACGATAATTCTCAATACTCGCTTCATCAATAAAACTCGAAACCCTCAAAGATATAAAATGGCGTAAATATTAATGCTCTGAAATAAATAAACATCAACTCAAAGCCATTTTGTTTCTTCTCCACAAAAAAGGACGAACAAAATAAATAAAAAGGAAGAAAAAAACAACAACTATTGCCATAGCGACTTAATTTTATGAACTAGATCAAAGTTAAAGATTAAACAGACGATAATTCTCAATACTCGCTTCATCAATAAAACTCGAAACCCTCAAAGGTTTAAAATGGCGTAAATATTAATGCTCTGAAATAAATAAACATCAACTCAAAGCCATTTTGTTTCTTCTTCACAAGAAAGGACGAACAAAATAAATAAAAAAGAAGAAAAAAACAACAACTGTTACCATAGCTACTTAATTTTATGAACTAGATCAAAGTTAGAGACAATAACAGACAATAATTCTCAACAGCTACAGCTTTGCTAAAATAGTACAGTAACAGCGTATACTGTATTTCTTTAGCCATAACCTCATCTGTTGGAATTTCAAGCTTTTTTTTTTTATTCTCCACAAATATATTTAATAAGTAATTTGTTGATTTCTCTATTTTAGCACTCAAACTTGAATTTGACTTTTTTCACTGTTTGTTTTGATAGCATAACTATTACTGTAGAAGCCCAAACATTGGTAAATTCTAAGTGTTTCTGGTAAAGCCTAAGATTTCTCAAAATGTTTTGGGGGTTTTTACGTTTTACCACAAATGTTTGTTAAAAGATTGAAATGGAATCATATTAAATCATACTTCGGACTTTTACCACGCCACGTTGGTAAAAGCTAGATTTTACAGGTAAAACATACGATTTACCAGGTTTCAGGTTTTTACCGTAACATAAATTTGCCTATTCATTTATATTTAATATTTTTCCCACTTTTTTCCTTCCAGATCAACGTTCTCTCTACAGACACAGCCAGATGCATTGAAAGTGCCAAATCCAATCTTGCTACATTCTATCCTTTATTTGAAGCTGTGGAATTTAATAAGCAAACAAGCGAACAGCAAGTACCTATATTTTTTATACCCGGTAAATTTGATCAGGTAAGTTATATTGTGACATGGGCTGAAAATGATTACATTTTGTACTCATGTGAAAAAAATATAGATCTAGATTAAAATGTTATTAACGGTTGTACGTGTAAGCGCATTTATATTATAAATTAGGAATGACAACAGCGGTTTTTTTTTGTCTTGTAGTATAAAAATTTGTAGAATGTCGATAAGGAATGTACGTGAATGTAGCAAGTTACGAGTACGCTTATATTGTCTATAGATATTTGTTTATGTTTTCTATAAGGGATTTATTAATGTTAAATCAACTACACAAGAACCTAACATACGAATACAATATTTATAAGTATGACTATACGGTACGAATACAGTGTTAACAAGTGTGGCTATACGGTACAAATACAATATTAATAAATATGGCTATACTGTGCGAATACAGTATCAATAAGTATGGCTATATGGTACGAATACAGTGTTAATAAGCATGGCTATATGGAAAACATACAGTGTTAATAAGTATGGTTATACGGTTCGAATACAGTGTTAATAAGTATGGTTATACGATTCGAATACAGTGTTAATAAGTATGGTTATACGATTCGAATACAGTGTTAATAAGTATGGCTATATGGAAAAATACTGTGTTAATAAGTATGGCTATATTGTACGAATACAGTGTTAATAAGTATGGCTATATGGAAAACATACAGTGTTAATAAGTATGGTTATACGGTTTATCAAATGAAATTAATATTTTTCTCTCTCACCCATATGTGTCTTAGCGACACCAAAGATAAAAAAAAATGAAAATCAAATACATTTGATAAAATCGAAACAAAACTGAATTTTATTATATTAACATTAACATGTTAAAGGTCATGCACACGCGGATAGCACACGTAGGTAATTTAGCACACTGGATAATTTTCATAATATTACTTAGTTATTAACAATTCTGCTCGATATTTACACCAATAATGTTTTGTCGTGATTAAATAGGTCTTTGTTAATCATACTTAATTTCTTATCTTGTTTGCATGAAATATTTTTTAAAAGCGTTAATTTGTGGGTAAAAAACAATTATTAGAATTCGAAAAAAAATATTTTGAAAAATAATAGCTTTGGCAGAAATCAAATCACAATAATCACGGCAAGATACGAAACGAGTGATCTTAAATATTAATCCATGCAACTAAAGGAATTGTTTTAATGTATCTAAATATTTACTGAAAATTAATATTTAAGTTTAAAATGAAGCAAAAATCTAACTCAGTTGAACAGTATTATAAAACAACCTTTATTAAAATAAAAATGCAATATTTTTTAAAACTGAATATGCCTAAATTAAGGTAGAATAACATCGCCAGTTTGTAATTTTCATGCTCTTATCTGCTTACAGTGCAGCATGCAAATTCGATAATTTTTCAAATTGATGCATTTCAATTTATTAGTTTATTTTTTAATATTTTTTTTATAATTTCATTTTTTATTATTTTATTTTTTATTATAGTTGAACAAAAATTGAATCGTATGATATCAAACTTCTTAAGATGTCATTTTAAGGAATGCAATTTGCAATGGCAAAATACAAAATTTGTGCGAAATCGGTCGAATAGCGCCTGTGAAATCAAAATTTAAAAATGTATTTTTACGCATTGCACGCCTAGAAGTCAATTCCCTATGCCAAAAACTGGTGGGAAGTTTCTTCAGGCGTGAGGCAAGCTATTGTCATCAGTCCAACATCATATCGATGCATGCCCAGAACCATCAGAATTTATACCATTGGGTATACTGAATAAATCGTGTATTGTGTATCCCAGGAGCCTCAATGGAATAATAAATAAAATGAAACTTTCTACTATGATGTATAACGAAATTAATGACACATTTCTCTTTATTATTAAATAGTTTTTAGGTATAAATGTACACTGTCCTAGATATTTTGTTGAAGAAATGAGAATTTTGGACGATGAAGGAATATCATTCTATTTCAAACACTGGGTGAGTATTTCCAAAACTTTGTGCCTCCTCTAAAGCAGTGGTTCCTGAACTTTTTTGTCTCGCAGACCCCTTGTCATGTTTTTCCGCTTTGGATGGACCCCCTGCTTTCCTGATATTGATTTTTTGTAAGTTCATCAACTTCAAATGTATTTTTGATAGCTGGTATAGCGTTACTCACTGTAAAAGATTTAAGTTTCCAACTGTAGTAAAGTTAGTCTGAAAAAAAAAAACACATGTTAATTTTATATTTATTAATTAAATTCAGACTAATTTGATTAATATGTAAATGGAATAAAATGATTCCTCTATGAAGCCCGTACTCCTCTACTAATATCATAATTGCGGAAATAGGTTTGTATGCAAAACCGTAGTAGTGTATTGTCGGTCTGTTTATTACGTTTTCACGTAAAAACTATGCAGCAAATCTCCGTGATCATGTGCGCAGATAAAGTTGGAAGTCTAGCTAGCTAAAGAGTTGACACAGGTTAGGCTACAATTTACCGCGGAAAAATACTTTTTTGTTACAAAATGAAACCTTATACGCAGAGAAAATAAAAAAAAGTACGCTGGCAGAGCTGTAAGCAACTGCTAGTTTATAATAATTCAGTTTCATATATCAAAAAATAATCCTATTAACTTACATTTTAATAAAATTTTTACTTCATAGCTACTTTTATAAATTATGTAGAATGCAGATAGATATATGTCTTTATATTATGAGTAGGACTGGGCGATATAAGAAATTTTATATCGTGATGCATCGTCAGTTTTGCATCGCGATATAGCGATGTATTGCCATATAGTATTTTTGAAATTCATTTACTTGTAAGGCACAGAAAGTCGAATTTCTATCACAACATCATACTCAGATTGATTTAAATCAATTTATGAATTTGAAGATATATGTCTTGCTTAAGAAAGATATTAATGATATATTTTCTAAAAATGATGGCGCAAATAACGAAAGATTTCTTAGTTTAAAAATAAATAATAAAAAATAAATAATAAAAAAATAAATAATAAGAAAATAAATAATGAAAAATAAATAATAAAAAATAAATAAAATTGAAATTTATCAATATCCAATCTTCCACAGCGCGAGTTGGTATCAGTTGCAAGAAGATCCTTGCGCGTCTTATATCGATACATCATTTTGCGCTCGTCGTCTTTAGTCTACGGCTTAAATCAGATTTCTGACTCATCAGAAATCTGATGCATCAGATTTCTGATGCATCGTCTGTAACGAAAGTTGTGTATCGGCTTGCTGATACATGCGTTAAATCGATATGTCGCGATACATCGATTTATAGCCCAGTCCTAATTATAAGGTAGTATAATGTAAGTAAATAGGTACTATCAGCGTATGTTAATTATTCCATTCATGAAATGCCAAAATTAAAAGTCACGACCTGCTCATATGAGATATACTATCGTTGACCCACATTTTCATTTCATGGACCCCCAATCTTTTTTTCACTTGACATGAACCACTTGCAGGTTGTCGTCGACCCCTTTGCCTGGGGGTTGATAAAAACCACTTTGGGAATCACTGCTCTAAAGTAAAGCAGCATGAATGAAGCACGGAGGAGGGAAATTATGTCCTTTTTTGTGTCTTTATTTTCGCCTTTTTCACGTTGTTTTGCTTTATTGTTCATTTTATTGCCTTTTGTGCTTTATTGTCCATTTTAGTGCCTTAATTCGTACTTTATTGTCCATTTTAGTGCCTTTATTCGTGCTTCATTGCTCATTATTCGTGCTTTATTGTTCTTTTTAGCTCCTTAATTTCTTCTTTATTGTCCTAGTTTGTACTTTTATTTGTGCTTTATTTAGGATGAGTAATTGAATTTTTAATCTACAAAGAGGAACATGATTGGTAAATTATCAAAAAGTGTTTTTATTTTTACATAATTGTAAAGTATGAGCATTGAAAACAAAAAAATATCAAAATTGCATTTTTTTTAATGACTAATGTTCCTATGTGATAAACTTACTCCAACTTTAAATTGAGTTTTCTTCCCTTAAATAATGCTTGAAATTCACGGACAAATTAACTTATTCAATTTCCAACCTGTATGTATTTAATTATTTGAGAGAGATTTTTATCGTTTGAATACATAATTTTTGACTATTAACACTGAACCCTAATATTTAAGGCATTATTTGTTCAATATGCTCCCTTACTGGCAACGTCAACTTAAACAATTTAAAAATAATAACATAAAATTAATTAATATATGGCATTTATTAAATAATGCAATTTAGAATTAACCATTGCAATATAATACATTTTTAAAATAAGATAAGGTTTGAAAACATCTTGACAATAATCAAGTCCAATAATTCTAATCAGTATATCAAATTCACCTGGATGAAATCTAATTTCTGAACTAACAATTTTTGATTTGGTTTCAATTATTAAATGTCATATTTTAACACTACAATAATTATTATTTCAATCATAATTACTACAATTATTATTATTTCTATTTATTAAACTTAGGATCTAAGTAGGTTCGTTTTGATTATTTTGATTCTTTACTTAAATTATTCCATGCCCATATCTGCATTTTATTATTCAAAAAATTGAAAAAATTTTCTCATATAATAACTTTGAATGTTTGTTTTTCCCCCTACAGAAAATGTTCAAATATTACTCAAATCACAGTGGAAGAAAAATAACTGACTGGAAGTCGGCATTCATGCTTTTCGATACTTTGTCTATTGAAGTAATCAAGATATCCATAAAATCTACACAAATGTACTAAACCTAATAACGACTCTTTTAAATATAAGTCCGTGTTATAACTTTTGTAAGGGGAATGTTTTACTAAATCTCTCTCTTTTTCTCTTGTTTTGCAAAATTTCGATCTCTTCCCGACCAGTTGGTGGGCTCAAATTTCGAATGTACTCTGTGGGTGATTCCAATACAGTGTACGATTGTTTTCTAAATTATGCTAGCAAAATTTATTGCTAATATGAATTTAAACCATTTTCCAACAGAAATAAACTACAGATACAAAACTTAAAAGGAAAAATAATAAAATTAAATTAAAATTTTATTTTAAAAGATTTTAACACACTTTCTGCAAAACTTACTTTAGTTTTTGTATATATCATTTCCTGAAGATACTATTTCTTACGATACCATTTCTTCAAATACGGTAAATACCATAACAATTATATATAGTTTCTAACAAAAATATAAATTTTAACATTAATGCATGTATAATCGAAATAATATTTTTTGTTTTATTTACCATGCTCTTATTGAATTGCTTTTGTAGTTGTCACAAGAGAATTTTGAAACCGAATTTTAACCTTTTGCTGACTAACTAGTGCACTGAAATCATTATAAGAGCTTTGTATCTCATAACAATTCATATTTTATTCGTTTTCTGATTAGTTGGGAACAGAATTTATCACGATATTATCACCAAAGGGAATTTACAGTCAATCGAAATTCCGATCACTTTTCGAATAGCTAGAATACTCAAATTTTACTTTGAACTCAATGATAGATAACAAAAGAAGTTTTAACGATAGAATATTTCAGACAGAATATTTCTATATATATATATATAGACACAGAATATTTCTCCAAATACAATTTATCGTTAACCAAAATTACGACTAATTTCCAACAAGTCAAAAGCTGTCAAGTTTTCTCCGCAGGGCTGTCAACATTAAGCTTTATTCAAAACATTTGAAATAGTTTTAGACAATTAAAAACTAAATCTTTCAGGATTTTTGTTAATTTTTTCCTACATTTTAAAAGCCTCACCATAAGAGAGCTGGAATCATAGTAGCTTTTAAGAAAGTTTTTGTATCATTTAAAGTGAAAATATGAAAATAAAACAGTGATACGGAAAATAACTTTACTTAAATTTTAAGAAACAGTGTGTTACATTAAAACATAAACATAGCTAAAACTGGAAGAAATTTTCCCAAAAAGAGTAAAAAGGTGGCAGCCCTGCTACCAGAGTTCCGCACCTGCTGACACTAAAATAAGAGTTGACATATATATATATATATATA